TGGAGTTAAAAGTGAAGAATTGACCACATGGAAAGTTGGTTGCTTATAAGGATAAAAGTATACAGTGATGCCTTCTCAGGGATTTGTCAGTCTGACCAGGCACCTTGTTCTCTGCTACACAAATGGGTGCTGTTGTTTTTAGTTTCAACACACTACATTTATAGAACTATCTGCATAAGATCATATTTTCAGGAAGTTTTTTAATTTGCCTGTTTGAAGATTTTAGTTCTAAATATGCACAACTATAAAGCTTTTAAAAGTCAAAATAATACTTTAGAAAGTCATATAGCAATGTTTATATATAAAAAGTGCCATTTTTATACAAAACTAGAGGCCTGGTGCACAAATTCATGCGGGTGGGGTCCATCCGCCTAGTCAGTGATTGGGGCCAATCAGGACCTTCTCAACCAATCCTGATCTTCCAGTGGCTGGGGAGGACCATGAGAGGGCTTGAGAGCATGTGGACCCCATCTCCCCAGTCCAGATCTTCCAGACCCCAGCTGCAAGCTAACCTACCAATTGTAGCGTCTGCCCCCTGGTGGTCAATGTGTGTCACTGCAACTCATTGAGCAGTTGATTTGGTCACCTCAGCTTAGCATATGAAAGACTTTTACAAGTGAAATTGTATGGTTTCAGGGAAAACACCAGTTGGTTTTTAAAGTGATAGAGGGGTTTCAAATGCTAGGAGAGCCTTCTGAAATGCAAAGCTTTCATGTATACTCACAGAATGGCCATGTATGCTCACACAATTATTATGTGCACTCACTGAGTTCCATGTACACTCACAGAACTGTCATACACACGCAGTAGAAAATAATTCCAAAAGTACAAATGCTGTGAAGCAAGTGGCAGGGTTGAAATTTTGCTAACTTTCCTTTATCTATTTTCACTTTTCCCAGAACATATGTTTCACAATAGTTTTATTAGCAAGTGGGGAAGTGGCACTGTCCAAAATCTGTGATGTGATTAGCGTTGTTGAATGGCAGGTTTTGTGTTACTCATGTTTATTTTATGCCTTCCCAAACCATCTGCTTCCTTGGTCTATGTCTTACTCAGATAATGAGAAACAGTGGCAGTTGAGGTACATAATGCCACTACAGTTTCAATGGCTCCTGACACTTGGGGCTTAGGGTTTCTATTTTTCTGAGTGTCCTAGGTAAAACTGAATAATACGGTCACTGTTTAGGACACAAGGCTTAGAAATAATTCATTCATTCATTTGACTCAAATTTACTCTGTGCTTGGTACTGAAGAAGCAAACCTATGGTTACTGAGAAGTGTAACACATTATCTCTATCCACAACAGTCTAGTCAGTGTAAACAATGCAGTGTGATAAAGGATAAGGTAGAGTTAGGAGAACAATGTGATGGCATCTGGAAGGTGAAAATATTCATTTTAAGAATGCACTGGAGTCTTGAAGCATTTAATTGCAAGCATAAGCATAAAAATAGCTGTCAGAGCCTGGCTGGTGTGACTCAGTGGGCTCTCTCCCCAGCTCGGGGTATGCAGGAGACAGCTGATCAATGATTCTCTCTTATCACTGATGTTTCTTTCTATCTATCCTCCTGCTTCTCTAATACCACTAAAAATATTTATTTTTTAAAGATAGCTTTCAGAGTGTTGCAGACCAAATCACCTACAGTGACCATATTGTCACCCACGTGCTCTCTCAGCTCACCCTGCCCTCCTCCATGGAATTTCGTCCTCAGGATATCCATTCCTGTCTTTACCGCAGCACCTCTCTCTTCAGGCCAGTGTCTCATTTTCCTTGATCCACACACACTCTCTTCATTCTTGCTTTCCCTGAACCTAACGTGCATTTACCTCTCCCATGTTAATAACAAAACTCACAAGTCTTTTCATTTAAGCCAGCATCCTAGTTGCTTCTGCCTCACCTCTTCCTTTTGCTCACTACTAGCTTCTTGAAAGCATGCTTGAAAACTTGATGTCTCTGCTTCCTTTCACGCCAACCATCTCCATATAGCTTGTGTCTTTCAATACCCTCCCAGAATAAACAAGTCTATTCCTCAGTGCAGACACCTCTCCCCTTGAGCTCCTTGAATTTCTAGTTGGGCACAGGACTTAATCTGGGATGTGAGGGCCACAATGCTCTAGAAAGGGCACTTAGGACTGGGCACAATTACCTAGAGGGATCTGGAAATGTGATGACCATATTTTCAGTCCTGCCTTTCATGTGCAATGCATCTCTGACCACAAAAGCCCTCCTTGGAAAAAGTGGGAGATTTTGAGCTACTTAGATTCTGTTAACCCCATTCACTTCCGGTGTCTTGTATTTGTCATATCCTGCATTTTCCTGGAGCACAAGCTATCCTTTTTCACTTGAACTGTAATAGTACTTGTAACTCTAATAAAGAGAGCCCAAAATAGAACCAGGGCACTGAAAATAACTTATAATAATTATAAATTATGGCTAGAGATGAAAACACCAAAGAGAAAATAATGAACTCATTTCTTTCTATAAAACATAAAATACCATTTATTTTGTTTGGCTTTCAGGAAAACTGGGAACAAATAAGAGAAAAGTGACCATCCTGTAGGCCCTCATGACCAAGAACACTTGGTATCATGTCTCACCAGTTTTGAACTTCTAATTTCAATGATACTTCTCCCAGTCCTATTTTCTTACTCTCCTTTTTACATTATTGTATTGCATGTCTTTTTGTTATAACTCACCTTAAGTCATTGGGGGAAAGTAAGACAATACAAACTAAATGCATGATAACTATGACAGATTGACAGTTTTATTCTTCTAGATTAGATAGGGATAGCGACTTCCTGCAGCATCCTCTGGGTAAGCATTTGCGTGAGGAGATATCTTGGGGTGGGTGTGGTGCTCATATCATAAGAAGAGTAAGAGCACAGAATGAAAATAGTCCTGAGGTTGGAGTATCCGTGGCCATATTTTTAACAGAGCAGCTCTGATGGAAATACTAAGCATAATGGGAAGAAAATCAATAGCCTTTCATGCCATAATTTGTTCTCATTTATTTTCCTGCTAGGCTGTAAGAGCATGCCTATTTTTAGTTTGTTAAGTCACACTGAGGGACCTTCAACCACAACCCCTATGAGGACAGTATTGTGGCTACACCTTAGGAATGCTGCCCTTCCATCAAATCCAGTGGTCCCTCGTCATGGTAAGAAAATCAGCAACCTAATTCCAGAGGGCCATGGAATGCATCTTTTCCTGGGTTTCATCAGGCAGGAATTAGCTAGAAATGGGAGGCCTATTTCACTCTCTGTTTCATGCTAATCGTTGAGAAGGTGTGGAGATGGCTGCAAAAGTCCATATCCAACTGAAGTCCTAAATTAAAACCGTGTACAGTTGTCTGGCCCATTAATTAATCTGAAATCATTATTTATCCTTAGCTGCCTGCATATGCGTTCAACTAGTCAGGAACTCAGATAAAGGGGTGCTATTAGCACCGTTAATTACTCCTCACAAATTCCACTGGCTGAACCTATGCTTTTCATTTTAATAGGATCTTTGGCGATGGAAACGTTTACACAGGAAGTGGCCCGACAGACTGAATAAGAGGTCTGGTGAGGAACAAGCGCAGTGATTTTGCACTTGTGAATACAGAAGAGAATATGCAGGCTCTTCTCAACATTAGAAGACCAACAAGAGAAGGGGGTGTTTCAGGGATGTGTTGCTTCTGATGCAGAAAAGAGAAACAAATTACAGAATTATGAAAAAGCAGATTTCAAATCAACAAAAGAGATGACCTCTATGCAATGCTATAGGCGGACATGAAAATCGCCATCCCTATTGAGTGACCTCAAACCATGATGTCAGAGAGTAACTCCCACCTCCATACCGTAATTGCAGACATCAGTGAAACTGGGTCAGGGGTCAGCCCTAGAACATCCTCCCCTTGATTGTCCTTGAGGTTAGAATTATTTAATAACCCAAAAGGTCAAATATCACTTCTATCTTTGTTTCCTTGGACATAGAAGGAGCGATGTTGTCCTTCGTTTGGACAGTACTGCCTGTAGCTGGGCTTCAACTGGCTCAATAATGTGAACTGAAACCGATGCACAGCCTAATGCTGGTGACTCTCATTGAGGAATTATCCAAAGTCACAGTTTGGCAGAACATCCTGCTTATTCACTGAACAAATTGGTAACAGCTAGAAAGGCTGGCTCTGGAGCTAGGGGAATGAACGGGCCACATTTTCTGTGCTTTCTGGCCACGTCAGAAAACCTCCACCCACCTTACAGTCACTAGCTGTATTTTTACAACATATTCTAGACATGGTGATGTGTTGGGTACTGTCCTATGCATCTAAGTTGGAGACAATAGTGTCTGATCCTTTTCCTTGGGGGCTTCATATACTTGAGGGAGGAATGGGCAAACACAAGATTTCTGCAGAAAACTGTTAAGTCCCAAAATTGTACGTGCAGAAGAGGCAGCAATGCCTTTGCCTCCTTGTATCTGTTATCCCTTCTGAAAACTGATTGTGTTGATCCTTTAAGAATCCTTGCCAGGCCTGAAGTATGACCAGGACTTCATCGTCAGCTACCTGGGGCTGCCCCTTGCCCTCTCCTGGAGAGGTGGGCTTCTCAAGACATCCAGGGAAATGGCGCTGCTGCCTCCAGGCACATGCCAGAACACCGACTCTCCACTCTCCACCAGCACCACCAGTGGACTGTGTGTGTACAACGGTAAACATCTCACCCCAACAGTTGACTTACGTCTGCCTTTTAAACAATTGCGACAGATGGCTGACACTTCAACAGAATGTATAATTAGTACTGCAACCTAGTACTTCATTCTTATTTGTTCCTTTTCCAAGGGGAGAAGCGGGGCCTTATGCCACTGGGTCTAATCTGTGAGTTTAATCAGAAGCGGTGCCATGAAAGTGCTAGGAAGAGATGAGCTGTGGGAGGATTTCTAATCTCAGCCCTTTGGGGAAGTAAAAAAAAAAAAGCCAGGAGGGGCTGGAGAGAGAAGTTTCAGTGCTTTTTAAAAACTCGTGTCGAGCTTGCTTCGGCAGCACATAGACTAAGAATGGAGCAGCACAGAGAAAATGAGCATGGCCCCTGTGCGAGGATGCCAGGCAAATTCGGTAAGCGTTCCGCACTCTTTGTCCACTGCAGCATTATTCACAGTGGCTGAGACCTAGAAACAGCCCGAGTGATATGAGTGGATAAAAATGCTGTGGTTCATTAGTACAGGGGAATACTACACGGCTATAAAAAAGAAGGAAATCTTACCTTTTGTGACAACATGGATGGACCTGGAGATTATTATGCTAAATGAAATAAGCCAGTCAAAGAAAGACAGATGACGTATGATCACACATACATGTGCAACCTAATGAACAAAATAAACTGGTGACAAAATAGAAACAGATATATCAATACATGGAACAGACTGACAGCTATTGGGGGGGGGCGTTATGGGGGAATAGAGGAAAGAAGGTGAAGAGATTAAGCAAAAGAAGGTATAGGTATATGTATAGGTATAGATATAGATATATAGATAGATATAGATATAGATATGGATAGGGATATGGCTATAGATATAGAGATACCTCTCATAGAGCTTAACATGTAGCAGACACTCAAAAAACATCAGTTTTTTCAATATAGATGAGTTTAGGTAAAACAAAAGCAACATCACTTCCTACTTGTTTGTCACTGTTTATGTGAATCAATTCATCATCTTGCAACAATCCACTCAACCAACAACCTTTCCCAACCCACATTTTAGGAAGGGATCCTCCCTCAGTGTTTCCCTGACCCCTTTATGGCATGTCCTCTTCGAACTTTGCTTCTTCATGCTCTTAACCATGACAGCTCCTATCTTGGCACAAATTTCTGAAAGCCAAGAATCAACCATTCTTATTTCCCATGTGAACCTTTTCCAGATCCCACTCCCTTTTCTGAATCAAGAAATCTTACATCTAATATGCCCCTCCCTCCAAAGTTTAAATTCATAGAATAAATTACTATTTATAGGATTGAGCTGCTGTCACCTTCATGGGGATTTTGATATTTAACCATCTCAAGCTTGTCAGAGAACTACCATATTTTCCGGTGTATAAAACGACTTTTGAAATGAAAAAAAAAAGCCTGTTCAGATTGGCCAGAGTCAGAGAGGTGGTCTATTAAAAAAAGAACTAGTGTTGCCTCGGAAGTGGGGGGTAGTCTTATTCAGCGAATATAGGCCTAAACCTATGTTTTAACTGTAAAATTAGGGGGTCGTCTTATACACCTGGTTGTTTTATACGCCGGAAAATACGGTATCCTGTTCCAGAGAACAGAACAAAGGTTATGAGTGTGGAAGGCACAGAGTTGTAAAAACATGAAACTTGGTATATAAGAAGGAAATAATTCTATTTCCCTCAAAGAATCCTAATGACCTTCTATCAGAGATAATGCTACATTTATTCTAGAAAGATAATATACCATCAAAGTCACATTCAGAGTTGGTAATTCAACTATCGATATATACAACTAAGAAGGTAAATGACCCACTCCTTTGATGAATTGAAAGTCTGGGGAAGGAGCAACAAAGTATAATCTAGAATAATTTATAAAATCCAAATAAAATAAATTGGCTGGTATAAAATATATAGAAAGCTAATTAGAATCATCTTAAGGATGCAATCATCACAGAGAAGAAATGTGTACTTGCGGAGTTTGATGCTAAGTTATTTACGTACTTCTCATGCAAGAAATGTAGTAACATGTACAATGTTCTTACCATAGAGGGTTGCATTGTATTTATAGCCTAGTAAAGGCTGACTACTATTATCTCATTCAATTTCAAAAGTGTCTGTGTTTTGCAGATGAAGAAAAAATGGGGATCTATTCGATAATTATTCGGACAGCTGGGCAAACTCTACCAAATAGAAAATGTAGTAAAAACCAAGATTCCAAGGAACCTTCCAGACATTACATCTCACCCATTATTCTGCTATGCTACATTACTTACCAGTGACTCAGAAAGAACCTTTCTTTCAGACAATATCCCATTACTCATTCAACCCCTGTATTGGCAGATGCAAATACGATTCCATTACAGGTGGAGGACACTCAGCATCTGCTTCCAAGTCATACTCAAGCCCAGTATGAGACTTTTAGTGCACTTCAAATTCATCCTCCTACTCAACAACTATTTAATGAGCAGCCTACAATGTGTCAGGAACTATTCTAGGCACTGGAAGTATTATGGGGAAGAAAACAGACATGCTGTCTAAGACAGATATATGGAGTGAGCTGGAATGTCTATCTTTATTCAACATTTTTGTCTCAGGTTAATAATTCCATTGCTGGTTTATCATATTCATCTTTATTTAGTATATCTCTGTGCTCCTCTTTATTGGGTACAGACTCTGTATCAGACTCAGTATGTACTGAAGTACAATCCTATATAATAAAAGGATAATATGCAAATTGACTGAATGGCCAAATGAGCAGTTACTATGATGCACACCGACATCCAGGGGCAGATGCTCAACTCAGGAGCTGCCCCCTGGTGGTCAGTGAGCTCCCACAAGGGGAGCGCAGTTCAGTCAGAAGCTGCGCTGATGGCTGGCAAGCACATCAGCAGTGGCTGGAGCCTCTCCCCACTCCATGGCAGCACTAAGGATGTAAGGATGTCCATCAGTTGGTCATATCCCCGAGTGCTCCCTGACTGCCAAAGCACTGGGCCTCTAGTGATAAATAAAACAAAATATTTGTCTTTGTTTATTCAATATATTAATAATGGAAAACGATAAAATGTATAAGACATAAAAGCAACATCCTAGGACAGACACCTTAAATATGTTTGCCTACTTTCTAGATTAATTCAATACCCGCCTACACACATATTTATGATTTATAACTCATTCTACACACTGTTTTCTGTTTTATTTTGAAGTGGCTTTAAATATGCATATATGTGAGTGAACAAAGCTTACATGCGGATGTGACCTGCCTGTCTTCTAGCTACATCAAAGGACCTGCAGCCCCCGGAGGCTTTCTCCTGCTCGTCCCAGCCAGCACTCTCTCTAGAGGCAGCCACCACTCTGATGCCTCTCCATATACTGATTTTGCCTGTTCTTGCACTTTATAAAATTTGCATTATGCAGAATGTAATCTTTCTTGAATGGCTTCTTCCACACAACATAAATATTTTATTCTTCATAAAAATTCAAGCTTACCAAATCAGGCTTAATCACCTTTCTTTAACTCCCAGTATCCTCACTGCACAGCTGTGGAAACTGAGGCCCAATCAATGTCTGACTTTACATAGTCTGTGAGTAGCCAAGCCAGGCATAGCTCTTTAAAAAACAAAAGCAAAAAACAGACAACAAGCCATGATAATGTTCTCTTTAGAAAAAGAATTCCATGTATCCCCATAATATAAAGCTCGCTTGTCTTCCTTGAGTCCACTCTGAGGATTTTTGCCACTGTGTTTCAGAGTTTCTTAACATTTTTTCAAGTTTATGTCTGAATAAAGTAGCATGCAAAAGTTTTCTGTACTGGAGAAAAATCGTTCTTTGAATATTGTGTTACATTTTCCATTCTTGGAACATCAGAGAGAAACATCTGGCCAACAAATTCCCAGGGTGTAGAAATGGAGAAATACTGGAAATGCAGGCAATTCCATGGACAAGTAACAAAGGATTCTTAAAGCATGGATGCCAACACATCACATCAGAACAGAGAAAAGAAAGAGCATTTTTGTCACAAGATTTAAAAAAGAAAAAAAGACAAATGCAAATGTCCTCACAAGTTCTAGATGTTTAAATAGTATTCCAAGTTGGAAAAAAAAAAAAAAAGTCCTCCAATTCTGTTGGACACTTTCTTTAGGCAAGAAAGAGTATATTTATTTACAGCCACATCTTTAATCATCCTGGCTTGGATTGTTTTGATTTATATAAATAAAATAACCAAGACCCAAGACCAAGTAAATAGAAGTAAATAGCCTTCCAAGGTCACCCACTCAGTGATCAACACTGAAAGAACTCATCTTAGTATTTTCTGACAATATCATTCTCCCATCCCTTCCCTCACAGAATAACCTGGGGTGATATGTTGAACCACTGAAAATTTTAGAATGACAGAGAGTCAATAGTTAAAGGAATACGAAAGTAAAATAACGTACTCTTCAAAAACATACAGGGACTATATCTACCCAGAGACCTCTTCTGCAATACAGATATACCAGCTTCTTGCTTGTTGGAGATAGCTCAACTTACACCACCACTGGGGAAATGGTTTCTTGCAGGTAGGAGGACAAATAATTCACCTCCAAGCAGGTCCTTCTCTGTATCTTTTTGACCTGATACTATGGTTGTTCTCCACTTAGCTTTGAGCACCTGGAAGTTCAATAGGGAAGAATTTAGGTAACACTAAATGGATATCCATTTCTTTATCATAGCTTTGTTTTTTGGTGCCTGGGGCAAGCTTCATGATCACACAGTAGATGTGAATAAAGGTTGGATGAACGAATGGCTGCATTCCCAGCATCTACTTGTGGACATGGGACACCAGGAAGTTATATTTGAATCCCAAACCCTTAATCAAGAAAATCCCTCGTTAATAAGTGTGTGTGTGTGTGTGTGAATTGCTCATATTTGATTCAAAGTACAATTTTCAGGGGCCTAAGGTAGGCCAGTTGTGTTCCAGGTTCTAAGAAAAAAGTAGGTGAAGACCACTTCTCTACTCAAGCTGGTAGGTTTGCAAAAGCGATGCATAGGTGGCTCTCTCATATTGGAGACTTTTCTCATCTCCTGCTCCAGGCCTGTTTTCCTTGCTTCTCTTATTCTCTGAAGCTCCAAGGGCCCTTCCTTTGCCTCTGTAACTTGTTTCTTGGACCCCTCACTTCTATTTCTGTGGCTTTCTTTTTTTTGATGGTACCAAAAAAGGAAAGATACACAAGGAACTTAGTACAGAACACTGAGAAGATGTTTGGGACCTGTGCTTATATGTGACCCTGCAGGATGAGTATAAACTGTGCAAACAGAGGCGGTACAGAGGTGGGCAGTGGACTATTTGAGGGGCTTTCTCAGAATGATGGATCTGCAAGTATGAAGGGCACATGGCACCTAAAAAGGTCTGGAAGAAGAAAACACTTTTATGCATATAGA